CTGTAATGAGGTTTTCTTCAAATTGGCTAGACAAGAAGACCACTTGGAATTCACATTCTCTAGTTGATGCCTTGCTTTTATTTGGTCAATCACCATGTGAGACTTTTCTTTCTTCACTGCTTCTAACTCTTTTTTGAATCCCATGGTGTCTGAAACACACGTCTTTTTTTGCTCTTGAAGAGACGAAAGTTTGACCTCACACTCTTTGATTACTTTTTCTTTGTTACATAGTTCATCTTGTAACTTAGAGAGTTGCTCCTTCAACACTTCTTCCCTTGTTTGAGCCTCAACCATAGAATTTTGAGTCTTGTGAATTTCAGATAAAAGATTTATTGCTGCTTCTTTTCGTTGTGAACGTTGTTCAATCATCAGCTTCTCTTTTTGTTCAAGCTTGGTCGTTGCGTCAATGGCAGAACAGGCTTGCTTGAAGGAAGATAGAATAGTTTGGATTTCTTGTTGTAAAGAGTGTATTGTAGCTTTGAGTCCATCATCAGAACTATGTGAGGACAAGATGTGAAGAGCATTTTGAAGGCAAAGTCTTCTTTCTTCAGAGCTAGCTATTTCATTTAGATCCATCTTCAATGAGACTTCCAAATCAGCAAGAGCCTTAGTGATATCATCTTCGTGAGCAGCACCTTCCTCCATTGTTTGGAATAATCTCATTAGTTCATCATCCTCAAGTTGTTTAGGCACACAAGGCATGCAAGTCTTTGTTTGAGTGGCCTTAATTTCATCCTGAAGTAAAAAAGAGTAAACAAACATTATTCTTAGTAATTGAATCCAATAAAAAAATATGATATTTTTTCCCGAAATATATAGGACTCTAATGAATAAATGTGGAGCTATAAATGCTAATCAACACAACATTTATTATTACTTATTTTAAAGGAAGAACATTATACCCAAAAAAATAGTGCATTAAATTATCAAAAAAAAAAATTATGCAGATTCAGTAATGTAAACATCTAGATGGTCTGATATGAACTCTCTGCTTTTGTTTCAGTGGCTAAAGATGCTATTTGAGGCTTCTTGGGAGTAGAGATTGAAGGGATCTAAAACCAAAAAAATAGAAAAATTAATTTCAACCAACGATAGTAAAGTACCAATAGTCCCCCAATCAAACAAGGGTAAATGAAAAGAGTAGTTATTTACCAATGGAGGACTTGTTTCAGTAGTAGTTGATGGAATTGACGTTGCAATTTTATTTGATGTTTCACCAGCACTTGCTTCACTATTCTGCACAGCATTGAATGACATCAGTTTCTTGTTTTTGTGACAATCAAACAAGGGTAAATGAGAAGCGTAATTATTTTAGATTGTTAATTAACCTTTTGTGAATCGTCAAGATGCATATCAGGTTGTGTTTTTGATAGTGCTTGTTGATCAAGTGTGATTCTCTTGCCCTTGCCATCAATGCGGTCCTCATTATTATCCTAAATCAACATAAATACGCAAAAAGCACCATAAGATTATATTATTTACAATAAATTTATCCTATATATCAGGAAGGACTATAATCTTACACGATGATGCTCATTTTCTGAAGGAACAACAAATGCTATTGGTGATAACTTGCTTGATTCTGGACTCATGATTTGATTTGTTCTGAGAGCTTCATCTAATTTACAACCATCTTGAGGGGTTGACTTCAGTGTTTCCTTCATAATTTGTTGCATATGACAGAAGTAATTTAGCTTGCAGTGAGTTCTAGCACGATCTCTTTATCAACAATTATGCTTTACTAGCTAATAAGTTTTACAATATATATAAAAACAAGTGAAGGTGTTTGTTGGGGGTTTGCTAGATATCAGAATCAGATGACGGTGTCGTTGTTGCTGTCGTATCAGAAATAGGGATTCGTTTAACAATTTCATTTGCTGTTGCTTTGGTACTCAATGAACTTACAATATGTTAATGGAGCAAGTACTAATTGATGTTTGTGCAAGTCTATTTCATTTTAGGAAATTTTAAAGTATGATGAATTTATAATGCATTTGTTTTCATGCTGTTAAGTCTAACATTAATCACTCAAAATATAGACTTTAAAAGACTTTAAAAGATGCTGTGTTGGAGTTAAAATCAGATGGTTTTGACTGTGGATCTCTAGAATGCAAATGAAATCCTCTTTCACTCTACATGAAAACATATATCTATGAATGTTCGAAAGGACGCATATATTTGATTCATTTGTTTTGTATTGTAAAATATGATAATCTTACTTGTGGAGATTCAATTTGTGAAGGAGTAGCAAATGGTGTGGATTTGTTGGTTTGTTCTGAATCCTTGACGTCATCAGCTTTTGTAGCCTCCTCTGATTTTGGACTGTCTTCATCACTTGCCTCTGTGATTTCCTTAATCTGTAAAAAGTTCCGGATTTAATTTAATGATATTGTACCAAAATTTTGGAAGCAATCAAGAAGGCAATAAGTGAGAGAGATATATATTTGTTGATGTCTTTGGCATATCTGAATCAGAGTTCATTGTGCTTCTGATATGCAATGGATACCAGATATAAGTAATATATATATATATATATATATATATATATATAATTGACTAATTGAATATAAAATTTTGGATATCAATGTTTTTGTCAAAATAAAAAATAAAAACTAATTTATATTAGCACCATTATAGAGTAAGAGCACTCTTGTCATCCAAATAAGTAGTCAAACGCCGCTGCTCCTTGTGGCTCATCAAAAGTGAGAAAATAAATGGTATTTCAAAACTTAATAATGAAATAAATAAAATAAACACAAAATTTGAAGCAATGTCAAGTGAAATTATTGATATATCAATAATAAATTTAATATTTTATAAGAAAATTAAAAACCTTTTACTGCTATTCGGAATTAAGTTAATTTGAATCCTAGCGTGGTCTATTCGGAATCAAGTTAATTTGAATCCCAGCATGGTTTTTAAAAATTCATGAATTATCTTCCAGGAGTACTGGAAAGAAAAAAAATCGTCCAGAGTGTTGGCTTGAAAATGATATTTTCAGCCAGGCCATATGATTTTAATTTTGAACAAGCTTAATTTAAATATAAATAAAAAATGTGAGAAAAAATATATTTAGTTAAAAAGTACACACACACACACATTAAAATTGGGAAAAACTTATTGACTGTGACAATAAAACATTAGAATACATACACACACACACAAATATATGTAGTCTTTTGCAGATTGTTAATTAACCTTTTGTGAATCACCAAGATGCATGTCAAGTTCTGTTTTTAGTAGTGCTCATTAATTAAGTGTGATTCTCTTGCCTTCACCCACAATGCAATCCTCATTATCCTAAATGAATATAAATATGCCAAAAAAAACCTTAAAATTATATCATTTACCATAAATTCATCCTGTATGTATATCAGGAAGGACTATATATTCTTACATGTGGATGCTCATTTTCTGAAGGAACAACAAATGCTGTCTGTGATGACTTGCTTGATTCTGGACTCATGATTTTATTGGTTCCGAGAGCTTCATCTAAATTAGAACCTTCTTGAGAGCTTAACTTCAATGTTTCCTTCATAATTTGTTGCATGGCACAAATTAAAGAAGTAATTTAGCTTGCTGTGAGTTCTACCGCCATCTCTTCATCAACGATATTCTTTACTAGCTAACTAAATTTTGCAATATATAAAAACAAGTGAAGGTGTTTGTGGGCATTTTCTCTGAAAATATCTGAATTAGAGGATGGTGATGTTTTTGCTGCTATATCAGAAAGAAGAACTTGTTTAACAATTTCATTTTTCACTGCTTTGGTTTATCTGAACTTACAATATGTTAATAAAATGTGGAACTGTTGGATGTTTATGTAAAGCTATTTTATTTTATAAAAGTGTAAAGTATGATGAATTTATAATGTGTGTGTTTTCTAACCTTAGTCACTGAAAATAAGGTAATATAATAAAGTATAAACTTTGTTGAGAAGATGCTGTATGGGAGGAAAAATCAAATGGTATCGTATTTTAAACATATGATAATGTTACTTGTGAAGGAGCAGGGTTGTTGCTAGTTTGCTCTGAATCCTTCCCTTCATCAGCTTCTGCAGCCTCCTCTGCTTTTGGACCGTCTTCAACACATGCCTCTGTTATTTCCTTAATCTGCAACATATAGGAGACCTCAAAGGAATTAAAAAGTTATGAATTAATGTTGCACCAAAAATTTATAAGCAATAGGAAAAGCAATAAGTAAGAGAGAAATATATTTGCTGCCTTCTTAGGTGTGGCAGATTATAGGAAAGTATAGTATACATACATTTGATGAACCATTGTTTTGTTGTGCTGCTGTTCGATCTCTCTTTATAACCTTCTCTGCTACTTCTCTTGTCCTCTGGAACATATCCGTGAGTATGGTTAGATAGTATATGAGATGAGCCCTTTTTGAAAGGGTAAAAAGAATGAAATTTGCCCCATCTTAGGTGCAATTTTATCAATAATATTTTGTTTAGCACTTAAAAAAAAAAAAACAGAGTGCTTGGTGTACTTGAGAAATAAATTTAAGGGCAAAATTGCATCTTTACTCTTTTTTTAAAAATATTTTTATTAACAAAATAACCGTAGGCTTTCAATTAATTAAATTAATCAGAGATATAGGTGCTATAAATTTTTTTTTCCAATTTGACTTAAAAATGATGCAATTCAACATGTAAAAATAAAAGTTTGATCTGTAAACATAAATGATTAAATTTAATTTGTGAATATACAAGTTTGATCCGTAAAATATAAATTTTTAGAGACATTTGTATATTTAATTTTCTTGATGAGACTCAAGCAATTTTTTTCCAAGCTAAACTATGGTTTATTTCGATCACCATTCCATGGGTTGAATGAAATGACAAGTTGTTTATTCAATTTTTTTTATAGAACTGATTAAAACAATTTGTCCTAGACAATGCACGGTGAATTTGAAAAGATAATAAAACATTGAAACTAAAAATAAAAATGGTGTAATGATAGGCCATCGGTTCAAGAAGAAGAGGCCCATTAAGTTTATTTAAGTTTGGTGTATGCATCGTTCATTGTCCTGTCTCCCCCTGCTTTCTCTTTCCTTAGATTGACCCATTTTATTTTGGTACTTACATTAATAAGTTGTTCAAAAAGATCACCCTCATCCATGTTGCCCTTCGTACTCTCAGATTTTTGTGACCAATTCATATAACCTAACCAAACAAAGCAATTCAAAAAATATATTATAATGAGAAAAGTCATAGCAATTATATAGGAATCGTAAATATATAAGTAAATAATCTTTTGGATACTTACTACCAATGAAGTGAACATTATCAGTTGAAGTCAATGAGAGGTTGGGACAATCCTCAACGTAACGGCATATCACGGTTTGGAAATCAATTGCAGGGCAGATGGTATGAAGTTTCGGCAGCTCATCAAGGCCTATCACAAATAGCCTTGGGAACACGTGCTTGACGTGCAACTCTTGTGTTGCGCCCTGCTTCCCTCCAAATACTTGCTCTAGCATTGGGGCATTTGATATTCGCAAAAATGAGAGCTGTGGAAAGCTGCCATGTGTGGAGATAGAGAATAGGCATTTCAACCTCTCACAGTCATACACAATAATCCTATGGAGATTTGGGAAACAACATTCTTCATCATCATCATCCTCAATGATACGCTCTAACTCTCCACAATATGATACCTCTAGGTGTCTCAAACATGACAGGCCCCTCGAGATAGATGTAGGCAAAATGAATTTCAGCTGATCGCACTCGTCGATTTTTAGCTTGAAAAGATATTGAAAGCTGAGATGATTTTTTGGTCCCACACATATGTTTCTTAACTTATTCAATCTTCTCAAAATCAGGGTTTTCAAGCTTGAATTCACAGGACATGCAATTTGAAGTCTTTCCATATCATAAATTGTTTCCATGTCCAACCATTTCAAAGAAAGATGTCTCAAATTGCACAAGCACATCCCAATTACCTGTATAATGTCATAACAGACACACATATAATTATCAAAGAACAAAGCAATACATCAATAATCATAAACTGACTGTTGAAAAATAATTAATTACCTTTTTTCTCGAGACTTGTTCTTGTCCTCTATGCCCCTCCACTGATACATCTATAAAAGAGTTTATAGGAAGTTGTGGACATTCACCCAAAATGACATCTTCTAGAGATGATGCTTTCACATAATAGTTTTCAGGGCACATATTCACCATATTTGGTACTTCTTCAAGGCTTAGTTTCTCGAGAGCTGGGAGATGAATCTCACAATTCTGATTCTGTTGACGTAACTTATCATCACCACAAGATTTTCCAAACACATATTCCAACTCTCTAGCCCCGCGGATATCCACAGATTCCAAGTGCACAAGCTTTGTAGAACAAGAAGCTGGAAATAGAGATTCCAACTTGCGACATGAAAATATTTCAATGGTGCGTAAGTTGAGAAAGAAAAAGCGGCCATTCATATGATCATGACCATCTACCTCCTCCATTACTATATGCTCCAGTTCATCACACCTCCGGACTGTCAATTTTTCTAACAGTGACATTGATGAGGCAACGGATACAGAAAATAGTGACCTTAAGTTTGAAATGCCTCCAATATTCATCTCTCTCAAATAGCACGGGTATAACGGTGGTGTAAAAATTCCATGAGCTCTATTGCCAACATATTTATTCTGCATTTCAAACAAATATATCAATTCATCTTTAGCAAATTAAAAATGTGTACATTAAATTGCAGTTTTTTTGTTTGTCTCCTTAGAGTTGTAGCACCGTAAGAGAACAGATGTGAAAGCGAGAGCGGATAGACATTTTATTTCAATTTTTCAAAATAAATAAGTATAATCAAAGATTTTTTTTCCACATCTCATCCAACTTAATCTTTACTACGTCTCAGCCACTATATTAGAAAATTATTATGAATTTAAATTTCCAACCTCCTTTTTCTTTCTTGCCAACAATTTCCAACCTTCTAAATTCTTCTCAATCAATTAATTAATAAACAATGAAGCAACATTTAAAAAGGTTAATTGTTCAAAATTTCATTGTTAATGTAATGTGAGAAAAAAAAAATTTATGGATGCCCTGTACCCTGTGGCACATATGTGGAGAAATTTTTATTCGCAAACAAAATAAAGTATCCATTTAATAGATATGAACCATGAGGCTATAGAATAAAGTTGTATAAATTGAAGTATGATTAAAAAAAAGAGAGACAGATACCACAACAATATATATTTCATACGAATTATTCTAGAAAACATATTTGGAAGATATAAGTTTTCTGTGATGCTGGTTCATGCCATTTTCACACAAACACCATCCTTCTTCATCTTCAGTTGATCCCAATAAAAGAAAAATCTTAATTACAATATCTCTGGCCCAGGTTTCAACAGTAAAAGGGAAAAAAAGGGACGTAATACCGTCAACAAATGAAATTAAACCTGCCAAAATATTCTTTGCTCATGAAAAAAAAAAAAAAATCAAGAAAACCCTCTTTATATTATAGATCTATTTGTCAGTTAACAAAACCAAAACTTGTGGCACAAAAACCACGAAATTGGCTTCTCTCCTTTGCCCTTACTCTGTTTTTCCTCTTTTTCCCATTCTCATCACCATTGATTATGATTTTAACCATTCAGATTTAATGTTTCATAAAATTATTATTATAATTGTATATGAAAATATGCAGTTCATAATTGTAAACTGTTATTAAAACATTTTTTTTTTTCACTTAAGTTGTTAACTGTTTATATCAAATTTTAACAAAATGTTCAAATCAAATTTTAATGGTTTAAATTTATTTCTATATTTTCATATAAAATTTTATGAACATACAGAAATGAATTTAAGTGGGTTTTGCTGGTGGTGCGTCGAAAGTGGCTCTTTTACAACACCTAAAAATTTTAGTGATATTGTTGACTAGGATTTTTTTGAAAGAGAACTCTATATATTTAGTCTAAAGTATAAAATGGGATTTCCGGAAAGAAGACAGTGACCCCTCATTTCATCAGTGAGAAGTATTTGATAAATTTTTATATATAAAAGTACTAATACTCCGTAAACTTTGTACGTACAAAGTACCAATAAAATTTTCAATGGATGAATTTTCCTAATTTTTCTTTTAAATCAAGTGAAAAGATAAGAATTTAGGGAGGTTAATTTTAAATATAAAAAATGCTATATCGAGGCTCTCTGTAAATGACTCAAATGTTAGGCCTTTTTAAAAATACTTTAGGCTAAACATTATAGCCAATTTGATCAACACAACTTTTGAAAGTATGATGGGTGATTGCTTATTCTATTTTTTTTTTTTCAAATGAACACTACTCAATTAATTCTCATTGCAAAGAAACATATTTAGCATCAATAAAAACTGCAAGGGAGGAAAATTTGTATGTACCTGTGAAGTAGTATGGTTCAGCTGAGCTGTCTTGGAAGTACATGACTCATCTTTGTTTGCAGTTTCTGATTTTGGCAGAAAACAACATAAAGGACCCCAAGAAACATTGCTACTTGGACTCTTGTCTTTGCAGTCCTCTGACCCCTCACTTGTATTTGCTACGGATTTTTCTGGGAGATAACATTCTTGATATATGTTGACAAATGATGGAACTTCTTCAATAGACATTACTTTCAAACTAGGGAGCGCGTTTTCTTTTTGCATTTGATGCAACCCTCCCTCTTTTGAATATTGCCCAAACATGTATTTTAGATTCTCACACAGAGAAATCTCCACACCCTCCAATAGAGGAAGGTCTTCGCAAAAACAAGTTGGCAAAATGAATTCCAATTCCTCACATTTATAAACATGGAGTAGTTTCAATTTTGGGAACATGGAGTCATGACTCCTCCTTGGATTAGGATCCTTATCATCCACTTCTTTTGCTGTTGACGATCCCTCATCACTTATTATGTATTCCAGCTTAGAACATACAGCTATCTTCAACTTCTCTAGGTTCTCTGGACTTTGAGCAGTGGAGGGATGAAAAAGACAAGTCATTGAACAACTGTTTATTTCTATGGAGTTAAGGTTACCCAGGTCTAGCTTCCCTTTAAATAATGTGCTTTCCAACTTCTGACATCTAGTTAGCTCCAGCTTCTCTAGTTGCTTGAGAAAACCATTAGGATACCGTCCACAACATATTTCTCTCACATCCACTCCATCAAGTTGCAGTTCAATTAACTTGGAGAAGATAGTCACTCCAGATTTAAGTTGAAGATTCTTTGTATAGATCAAACACTTCATCTTAGACCATCTCTTCAAAGAAAGTTTGATTAAGTCTTTCATGGCTCCATCATCTTCAATTGAAACAATATCAGGAATAAGATTGCTCCAGCCTGTTTTATCATCTCCTCTTAGATCCAGAATCTCTGCTCTTGCCGCCAAATATTTAATAACTTCATCAGAGAACATTGTTTGCAACCTGGCTGGCTTGAAACATTTTTTTATTGAAGCATCCAGCTGAGAAGAATCAAACGCAGAGAAATCACTGCCATCTATATGGAATGTTTGATAATCAGGAGGGTTTGTAATTTGAGGAACCTTTGCGCCAATAGGCGTATGATCCTCATTTGAAACATAACACAATTCTTCCACTTGCGAGCATCTTGCAATCACTTCAAATGGATTGTTCTTTTGAAGTGAACAACGTATCAAGCTTAGAAATCTCAACTTATCTAGCTCGCTAATTCCATTTGGCACTTCTGTAATTGAACAATTAGTCAATTCTAGAGACTCAAGCTTTTCTAAGCTTCTCATCAACATTGATATGTCATCCAACTCCAAATTTGTGAGCGATAGTGTTCGGATATGTTTTAGTGATTGAATTGATTTTGGTAGCGATTGAGCTGGAGTTCTACCAAACTCAATTTTTGAATTCAAAAGCAGAACTCTAAGGCTCTTCATCGCTCCAAAGACTGTATTAGGAACTTCCAAAGAACCATTTGCATTTATCCATACAAAGAGAACCTTGACTTTGCTATCATCAGAACAATTAGGAAAGCCACTAATGATCCAAGATGAGTACATCACATTCTCCTTCAATTTTGTCTTAGAATCTGTGATCACTTGAATTTTTTCATTGTCTATCTTTTCCAAGGCCATTTCGCGGATGACGTCATGCATCCTTACATATACTTCACCAGCCTTTAACAATAAAGAAGAATTTATGAGTGCATTTTCAATCTCATTAGCATGACTTCTTGCTACGTAGTATTGGTCGCGTTCTCCAAAAAGCCCCAAACCTATAGCAATTCTACTTAAAAGCTCTAAGGGTATTTCATAAGCTTTTGGGAACATAGAACACAACAGGAAGAGAATTTTGGCTTCTTCGTCTTTTAGATGATCATAGCTAAGTCTCAAAGAATTATAAATCTTCCTTTTATCCTCATCAACAATACCATGCCTTGAAGGCATGGGGTTTTTCAATGTAATCAAAGCTGCCTGCCATTGTTGTAGGGACAGGCTTTTTAAGGCCTTTGCCACTGCTACAATCAAAATTGGCAATCCTCCACACTCATTCATAATATCTTGTGCCAACTTTTTCAAATCACCAGGACAATCATTTCCACTTGCAGTAGTATGAGATAAGAAAAGATTCAATGCATCATCCATAGGCAAGACATCTAATTGAATTGTCCTTTGGCATCCCATGTTGTTACAAACAATCGAAGAACGTGTAGTTAGCAGAACACAACAATAACCCTTGACATCAAAGCGAGGCTGAATCCCCATGTTCTTAAGATCGAGTTCTTCCCATATGTCATCAAGTATTATGAGCACCTTTCCAACATGAGCAATCCTGGTCCATATTTGTTGCGCAGGACTCATTGGCATCTCTTCCTCTAATTGCAATTCTAATTGCTTTGCAATATCATCTCGAATCCTTTTTTCATCCACAGGGGTAGACACATTAGTGAAGATGACTTTATCAAAGAGTTTTGATTTTTCAACTTGTTTCCCAACTTCTATTGCCATTGTGGACTTCCCTGTTCCTCCTGGTCCTTGCAATCCTATCATGTATTTATTCTCATCTCCTAGTTCCTTCTTGAGTTCTTCAAACTTTTTCTTTCTACTCTCAAAGGGCATGAACTCTTGTGAATGGAATTCCATGCCCGGCACTCCAGCAGCACGTGCTACTTCTTTAGGAAATTCTTTAACTTTAGCGATCATTTTCGGGATCCGCTCTTTCATCAATTTTTCCAACTCCTTGGCTTGTGCAATTTGCGAGCAGCAATTTGTACACAAGCCAAAGCATTTAGCTGGTTTAGTGTCTTGCTGTAAAAGTTCATTGGCACTTTCAAGCCAGTGTTCAACCATAGGGTCAACTCGAGTCTTATTTCTTTTCTTGGCTTCTTCTATCTCTAGCTTTACACTTTGCAATGCAGATAATAAGTCTTCTTCTTCCTTTTTGAAATCTTGAACATAACTCTTGTGTTTACACAAATACTGAAGTTCCTCCCATGCTTTACGCAGCAAGTCTGGGATGATTGTTGTTGCAACACCGGTACAGATATTCATCTAACATGCATATGGGATTACAGTTACAAAATCAACTAGATCCTATGATCTAAGATCATAATATACTAATCAAAACCATATTATTCAATAGGAGGCAGAGATCATAGAAATTAAAGAACGACATCTTTCTCTTCTTCACCCAAATAAGTGTGTGTCTATGTATATAATATCTTAAGAAAGGATGCATATTCATCCTCAAATCTATAGCAATTGATGATCATGATGACCTAAAACATATCACATAGCAATTTATGTATAAGAACCTCGGCAACTACCACGACGGCAACTACCACGATTTAAATCTATGAAGCATGACTTAGTTATATTAAAATTTCATGAGTAACTAATTATTGGATTTCTTAACAAGTCAAGATCATGAGCAATAACAATGATCATGAGCAAACTCATGTTGATAGCAATTTATATACAAGTCAAGAGAGTCACCATAGTATATAAAGTCAAACAAAAAAGGTTCACTTCAATTTATAGAGAAAATAAGCTACGAAATTATCTATGGATCGATAAATTAAAATTATGAATATCCATACTAACTTGGATGCAAGCAAAGGAAGTATGCCAATATCAGCTTCACTTAATTTAACGAGCCAAGATCTGCGAAATAAAAATGAGAAAGTTTAAGATATTAGCTATATGAATATATAAGAGATGGAAGCACAAACAAGATAAGAAACTATTCTCTCTCCTGCGCAAAAATGCAACAGGGGGTATGAGCCTATTATTACATGTGCCAGCAAGGGACCCAGAAATTTTAGATTGTGGGAACACATTAAAATTAAATATTATTTTTGGTATTCACCTATTGTAATGAGAAATTCAAATTTTGAATTTGTTATATGTTCAAATATATTAAATTTATCTAAAAATAAGAATAGGGTGAATGAATTAAAAACAAAATTAGATACATGAATCATGTTTTATTTAATTAGCAACAGAATTGGTTGTTGCTCTGCAAGAGACTCAACAGGGAAGGAAGTAAAAAGCAAATGAAACTTTTTTTGAAAAAAAAGTAACTACATCAAAAAGTGAAAGGTTAAAAATATATCCAGCACCCCGAAATATTTTCTTAGATGTATTCAGTACCCTAAAGTATCTTTGTGATGCATCTAATAAGGGCATCCAGCCATCCAACACCCTGAAGTTTTTTTTTGTGCCTTAATACTTTAGGTTGTTAGATGGAAAAAAATACTTTTATATCCTGGACGCACTTAAAAAAATATTGCAAGGTGCTAGATATATCACAAAATATTTTAATACTTTGCGATGCTAGATACAGCTTAACCCAAAAGTAAAAAGCTCATTTAATCTATTTAATTAATAGAGTAAAGTTATAATGAACTAACAAGTCCTGTTTCCTCCCAAACCTCTCAGGAGTCAAGAGAGTTAAAACTTAATAAATGATTGGCGCAATGAAAATTATATTGTTAAATACAAAGTATTAACAACCACACTTACTAAACACCATTCAAGACATAATTGCTTACGTGTTAAATAATCGTGCATAATGCATAATTATGGTACACTAAAAAATACACCCTTCTGTATATTCATGATCATTTAATTAAGAATAACCCAAAATATTTAAAATGGAAAATGTATTGTTTGATGAAAAATAAAAATTTATTACTGTTAATTAAAAAGTTACCTATGGAGAGTTATACACAATTTTATCTAACAACATATACACTCAGGCATATAAATTTTTATTGTATTTGAAAAAAAAAAAAAATATTCAGAGAGAGCACTACTCGGACATGAAAAGATAAAGCAATGCCAAGAACACAGGATGAAAAAGAAAAGGGAAGGAAAGAGAAAATCAAGACGAACATTATTTCAAATATGTGTTACAGAGAACATTATGTAAAATATGACTTTAGTTTTCATCAATGGTCTAATAATGTTTTAGTAAAAATCATAATTAAAAAATCTAATATTAAACTCATACGAGAAATTTATTTTTTTATTATTTACCTTTTTAAAAAAAATTCAATAAACCGACGCACGTTCTTCTCTCTTTTTTTAATTTTTTAATTTTACTTTTTATTTTTCCCTTTTTCTCTTTACATTTCCACAAATTTTTATCTCAAGCAATTAAAATTCATAGCGACATAAATTGGGAATTTTTTTCTGTAGGATCCCAAACCATATCAATGGCAATATGTGATGCATTATATTAATAATTCATCGACAATTAGGGTCATTTTTTAATTTACAGAATAGGCTATGAAAATCTGCAATACTAACTTGGATGCAGCAGGCAAACGCACTAAGGCAGTGAGAATCTTCAATTTTCAGACTTGAGATTACCAGCCAAAATCTGATCAATAAAAATGAGAAAGTTTAAGAGATCAACAATATAATCATGTAAAATATCAAAGTACAAATAAGATAAAAACTATATACATATATTCACACAAATTTCGATGCTCTCTTAAATTTAAATACTGGGTCCATTTGGATCAACGATTGAAAAAATAGCTTATTAGAAAAGTAGCTTTTGGAAAAGTGAAATTAAGTAAAAGCTAAATTGGATAAGTTGAATTGTTTTTAGATTGGAGTTCAGAAAAATTAGTTTGCAAAAGTGATATTAGTAAAATGTTGTTTAGATTATAGTTGAGTAAAAATAAGTTTGGTTGTAAAATGACCAAAATGGGTATAAGTTTTAATAAATAATAAAACATGATTAAAAAAATGATTTCACATAATACAATAAAATTAAAATAATTTAATACGAAGAAGTCAAATTTAATGAGTGAATTAAATTTGAAAACTTTAAAGAAATCATAAAAAATAATTTAAATATAAAATGAAACATGGAAAAAATAAAAGTATATTTCTAGGAGCATATTTAAAAATAAAAGTATATTTCTAACTTATTTATTATTTTCAACTAATTTTAACTCATTTTTCAGTATGTACAAATTTGTTATTTGAGGCTTATAATAAGAACCAAAGGAGATAATAAATTTCTTAACTTTTTCTCTCTCCATGTTTCAAAAGCTATACTCCTCTAATCCTATTTATAAGACACTTCCAGCATATTTCATACAAACTAAGAAAAACCTTAAACTTTATTAACTCTCATTTAAAATTTAATGACTTTCCAACTTTATCCCTATTTAATATGTATTATACCTCATATAAACAAAGTCAACACAATAATAAATGAGGGGTAAAATTGTACATTCATATAAAAAATTTCTCTTAGTGCCCTATAAATAAAACCAAAAAATATCTTCTCTCTCTGCTCTATAAATAGGACTAGAGGAGTAAGTCATAAGCTATAAGGCATAAACTGTTAATTTTAACTTATAGCTTATTGTAACTTTTCATACAAAAACCAGATTACCCAATTACTCAACCAAACAGCATCAAAATTTACAATCATGCTTTTCAGGCTTATAAACTGCTTAAGGTGTCTAGAACGCCCAGCCAAACAGAGTGACTACTTATCTTCCATAAGTTGAAAAGACATTGTTATTAATTTAAATACTTTAATGGACTAAAATATACAACAAAAAGGTCAAATGCAAATATTTCAAAAGTATCATGGAATAGCAAAATTACCTCTAGTTAGTTGATTGCCTTTCTTTAGAGTTACTGGCATGGCTATTAATTTAACTCAAATAATTTACTTATACTAAAATTCATTCTTTGATTGTTGCTTGACTAACATATGAAATTTGATTTGTTCCCAATTGTCATATTCCATATTTTGGGTTTAAAAGTTTAAAAATTAGTATAAGTAGGTTATTAATCTTAGTTGAGCAAAAGTCCCACAAATGTCCTGAAAAAAAAAAAGAACAACTATAACATTCCATGTTTTGAAATAAAATAAGCTAAACGGAGAATTAAAGGTTAGCCAAAGGGCAAATAAGAAATTAAACTTGCAAAGGCATAATTAAAGCTGCAGTCCCAAGTGGGGGGCCAAAGTATAATTTATAAAAATCATTAGTACATAAGGGTAATTTTAAAAATTATGCCCAAAATTTCAAATTTCGGAAAAAATTCCTTGAAACTTAGGAAGGTAGAGGACAACTTTTTGGACTCTATTTGAGGCTCAATTGAGGTATAAGTGAGAAAATTATCTGATAAATGAATTTTAGAAAATTATTGAATGTTGGCTAAGTATAGGATGATTAGCTAAATTTAACTTTGAAAAATGACAGGAGGCCCCAAATAATTAGAAAACAATAGTGGAGAAATTATTTTAAGGTTAATTTGAATTTAAAAAAAAATCGATGCCCAGGATATGGAGAATTTATTTTAAAGCATATTTTAACGAAATTTCATCTAAGAACAAGACATTTTCTTGGAAATTACAAAAAAAAAAACTTAGAGACCAAATCTAGGCTTGAGAAAAATTGAAGAATGTACTTCGATCCTAGATGACCCTGATTCCTCTATGCTGGGTTTGATCATACTTGCGATGCATTTAATTTTTAGTGGCAATCAAAGTAAGCCAAGAAAATTTTCTATAGATAAAATTATGAATATCCATACCAACTTGGATGCAAGCAAAGGCTTCAAGCTTCACGTGATTTAACATGAAAATGAGAGAGTTTGAGATTTTAGCTGTATGAATAGGTAATATTTGGATGGGAAGAAAATTAAGGAGAGGAGAAAAGACGGGAGAAAAAAAGAGGAGAAATGGATTTTCCCTTGTTTGGATTGGAGCAGAAAATAAAAGGAAGAGAAAAGTAAGGAAAAAAAATGTTGTTGGTTTCATGTATTTCTCTCCCCAAATTACCATGTCTATTATATAACTATAATATTAATTATTTATATTATAATTATAAATGAAATAATAAAACTTGAGTTTCTTAAGAAATTTTTATTTTGATTTTAATAAATCCGGATACAAGTATAATATTGTCATTCTTGCATCTTTATTTTTACTTTAACTTTCTTTTTATTAATTTAACTCGTGAGGAAATATATTTTGCTAAATATTTCTATTTTGAATTTATTTTTCATGCCATTACTTGAAAAAATTGGTTAAAATTAAATAAAGGTATTATTGTCATTATAAATGTCATGCATTTACTTTTCTCTCCATTTTCCCTTATCTATCCAAATGCAAGGAGGAATATTATCTCTTCACTTTTTTCCTCTCCCTATTTTTTCCCCTTGATTTTCTCTCAACTCAAACGTAGTATTAAAAATTGAAGCATAAATAAATGAGGAACGAATAATCTCACACACACACAAAGATGTAGCGGTGACAAACCCGGACGTTTTTAGACGGTGAGATCAACATACGTGTGTATTTGATACAATGAAAACAATATATTACCATGAAAGTGTATGGATTTTCTATTGCTCATAAATTTAAATTAGTGCAAAATACCATTTCTACAGCGAGACTTAAAAAATATAACCGGTGACATATTTGGTGTGAGAATTCTGCATCAGTTAAAATTTCAACTGGCCAGAATAAAAATATTTTATACATTCAACTGAAATTCTAATTGGTGCAAAAAGTCAAACTAAAGATTGTAAAAAAGATATTTTATTTACCTTATACATATTTGTTGTTGATAATTAAAAAAAATCGATATTTGGATATAGAAAATATTATTTATATAAATAGGTGTAATATGCTTACAATTAAACTCTACCCTACAAGAAAAAAATTGACAAACATACGATTAAATCTATTTCCTATGAAGATATTTATTTTTGGGTAAAATATACTAATTACTCCTCTATTTTACTTAAATTATAAGACTTCATTTCTCTTTTGAAAACGTATATTAACCTCCCTTAAAATTAACATGTATGTTACTCAGACCTTTCTTATATATTTGAGATTCTATTTCCACTTGAACTTTGACTAAAATACGCCTCATTAACATAATAATTATTTAAACATTTATATTTGTTTTTATGTCAAACATTTACATTTGTTAAAAAAACTACTTTTTTAAACAACAAAAAATTATTTTAATAAATCTATTTTCAAACCTTATAATATGTCATAAAATTTATCAATTTTTATTAAATTATAAAGTTTTATAATTTTAATTTTCCATCACATCAATTCAAATATATTTATTTAGGTTTCTTTATATGGCTGAAAAATTTTAAATGCATTTTTATCATATAATTTAAATGACGCAAGTTTGAGAGTTATATAAATAATTTAAAATTTGATATTTAAAATTTTTAAACAAAATCTTTTTTTACAAACATTTATGAACATATTTACTTAATCAAATTTCTTAAGTTTACATTAATTAAGTTGTTTAAGTTTTTGTCCCAGAAAAAATTATAAAAATAAAAAGTGAACTTAAGGAAAATAAAAAAAAAACTTTGAAATATTCTTCAAAATAATTTAGTAAAAATTAGGGATTTAGTATGATGAAAGGTAAAATAGTAAATAAAATTTTTTAATACAAATTTTAATTTAAAAAAGCATCTGTTTGAAATGTTCCTAATGGAGTTAATTGTTTAGACTTAACTGTATGTTTTCAAAATAAATGATGTTAGAATATTGGGAAAATTGGTAAAAAAATCCCACGAGTAACCCCACATTTACCAATTTTCCTTAGAATATTTTAGTTTTATTTATTTTTTTCAAATTCAATCACACGAGTAACCCCCACATTTATATTTGATAGTGTCAAGGTCAATCAAATATATATAAACTACATAACAATACATATTCTAAGGAAACCACATATTCCTGTAAGAATTATACTACCTCCGGTCGTTGTTTAACTTTTATTTTGGTCCTAAATATAAGACCCTAATTCATTTTGTCTCTTATATTTATACATTTTTTTCTAAAGTAACCTTTCTAATAAATATAGTTTTAATCAATATACTTGATTAGCAATGATATTTTAGAAAAGACAATACCTATTTAGGATAAATAACTAACTCAACTCACTTCCTTAATCTTCTCAAATTAGTCAACTGACTCTTATAATTAAGACCGAAGGTACTATATAATCTAGAAATATAACCTAAATTTCACTCCTAATTAATTAGTTTGGGTCTTTTAAATAAGATGGGAGGGAGTAGTGTGCAATACCGCAACTTATTATTGCTTACTCCGCCAAGATGTTTTTTAAGCAAAATTCTATTAAAAAAAAAGTATTACCAGTATATTACACAATGAAAATTATTAAATATTACTTTGAATAAACATGATGCATCATTGTTTTTTTTTTTAAGTTTTTAATAAAAATGGTGGCAGGAGTATATTTCACGGGCTGCAAACCCTCTCCCCCATCACCCCGACTCCAATATAACAATATCTTCCATGATGTCATCATATGCACACAAAAATTACTTTACGCTGTCAGGTGCTACTTAAAAAATACTTCGATACCTTAACTACTATTTTACCAATTTTTTTAATATAAAATATGTTTTATAATGTCAAATGTATCAAGAATTGGTTTATCATACCGAGTGTCATCGGGAAAATAATTCAAAGTGATAGACGATAATGACACTTAACCCATTTTTAAATTGTTAATTATGTTATTTAGTTTTAGTTTTGTACATGATGCAAAACTCATCTTATCAAAGGATGAGTTTTATGCATGTTTATTTAATTTTGTACTAATAAACTTGGATAGTCTGGCTAATAAGTGCCTATATCTTTGACCAAAAAAATAAGTGCCTATATGGCCAATTCTTGAACCAAGCCAGCCTGGTCTGGTTAGCGTTTACAAATTAATTTTAACAATTTTCTGCGGGAATAACATTTCATTTGGAGATAATCACAATCAACTCACTAGTGTAGTAAAACTGTAAAAGTACTGGAAGAGCAGTATTACGGAGAATACAACTAATTTCAAACTTCAATTCATGTGAATATATAACTTTCCATATACAGGAAGCTAAACCCAGGTCATAGATGTGTGTGTGTGTGTAGGAAGCTAAACCATATCCATATCAACATTCATATCAAATATTGAAAATATAGAGAGCCACACTGTTCAAACACTATAGAAAATACAATTAATTTTATGCTGCAAGTAAAAATACATACTCTATCAAGTTTTTCATATAAGATCTAGTTGACTAATTTGAAAAAATTAAAAAAATTACTAAATTATCTTAAAGTATCTATATTTAACGTTTTTTTCAAACTAACTTCATTTATAAATTAATATATAATCTAATGATACACATAAAATTTTAGAGAGATCAAGTATCAAATAATTTAGGGTTTGTTTAGTTCTGGTTTTTGTTTTCTTGTTTTCAAAACAATTTTATAAAACTGTTTCCTAAAACAAGTTCTGAGAATAGAAAAACACAAAAATATATGTTTAGAAATCACGTTCGAAGAAAAAAAATTATATTTGGCAAGTGGCAGTTGATATGTAGTGACAGGTGGGTAAGAAGAGAAGACTCCTTCAATTTTTCAAAACGTAAAATACAAAATACAAAAACAAAAAAGAAAAATCTAAAAATTGTTTTGGTTTTTTAATTTAAAAAAAATTTTGTTTTTTTAAAATAACCGACTAAAAACATATTACCAAACAAATATTTTTTTAAAAAATAAAAAATTGTTTCCAAAATAAGAATCCAAACAGACTTTTAATAAGTTCCTGAATTGTTTAAATTAATTAACTAAGTTTTATAATAAGAAAGAGTTAATATATACGAAATCCATCCATGTGTGCAATTTAAGAAAACTAAAACAGTTTCTATGAATAAATGAAATTTACTATTAAAATTAGGTACTCTTCCGATCTTTAATATAAGACTCATTTAACTAATTTAATTAGATTAAAGAAGTTAGGTAAGTTAGTTAATTATAAAAAAAGAGACACATTTTTCCTAAAACATCATAATCATCTTTCTTAATACCACGTCTCCCTCTTCTAGGTTGAGAGAATATCCATAGGGATAATTTAAAAAAAATTAATAAATATGAAAAATGAGTCTTATATTTATGATCAAAATTAACACAAAAATTAGGTCTTATATTAAAAACCGGAAGAATATATACTAACCTGGGAACAGTAATTGGAATCTTCAAGTATGTTTCACGTGACCAACCAAGATCTGAGATCTGAGAAATAAAAATAAGTTAAAGAAAGTTGTAGGAGATAATACACACACATTCATAAGAAGATCCAAACATAATTCATAAGTATGATGGAGTAGAAATTTTTACCTGTCAGAGATATCTATATGCAACACCGCTTCAATTTTTACCTGTCAGAAATTTTTTAACACTAAATGAAGAAAAAGAAAAACAGCAACGATTTGGATAGGTAGCCTGCTGATTTTTTTTTTTTTTTTGGGAAACCAGAACCAGTAGAACAGCAGAAACCTTAGTACCCGGAGAGGGAAAAAAAAAGTCAAAATAGGAATTCAAGTAGAGAACACAATTTTTTTCCTCTTTTTAAAGAAAGATAAATAAAAAGAACTGAAAAGAAGAGCACACAATTTTTTTATGTCAATGTCTTGATGATGGATGGAAGTAGAGATGCAAGGGAAAGGAGAGGATCGAAGTACAGAGGAGGAGGGCAAACAAAGTGTTAAAGACGAAGCACAAGAGAGAAACGATCAGAAGGAAGGATCCAACAAACAAACAAGAAGATCGTCGAAGAAGATTAATAACAGAAACTTCAAACAAGTGGGAGAGATGATGATCCACAACCCAAATGGAACTGAAGCAGCAGAAACTGTGGTGGTATATTGGTGAACATAGAGAGGCTATATGCTCATAGTACTTATCTTGAATTATCACTCCTCTTCTTATAATAAATTGCACGTTAATTCAAAAATTATGTACTAGCCACCAATATTTCAACCAAAGAATGGCAATGCCAGCTTAAAAGAAAAAAACAGAATAAACGCTATCACCGGAGAGATGGGCCCTCGTCCAACTAAAGGCATTGACTGACTTTTCCATTCTCATTCGACATGTGCCCATTAATTCTGACATTGTGGCTTGCTTCTCACCTCTTCTCTAATCAATTCTTTTTCACTGAAATTACTTTCTATTTATTTTTTAATTTGATTATTCAAAATATTATTCACGCAGATCACATTTTAAAATTATTTATTTCCAAAAATCGAGTTCAACATTAAGGGTCAATTTTTTTTTTTTTAAATGATTTTAGGTGGCTGTTGGGGAAGTAAAAGAGAAAGCTGGGGGCAACGCCTTGATATTACTAATCGGAGTTGGTAAAAACATGTTTCAGATTGCCACTCTCAATTGTCAAAAAGTCATACGAAAAAGTTCAGTATTTTAAATTGACTAAAGTGTATTTTAAATATATTTTAATACTTTTAATTTTACACAAAATTTTAATTTAGTCACTTAACTTTAAAATTAATATATTTTTAGTTATTTGATCTTAAAACCGTTAACCAAAAACAATAATGCTAAGATCTTGACTCAAATACTAATATATTAAATTTAATTTTAAAAATAATTATAATTTTTTATTATTTAATACTAATGATTTTTGGATTAAGAATTAGAAATATGATTTTTAAAGTTAAGAGATCAAAGTGAAATATTTTATAAAAATAAATACCTTTTAAATTTGATTATTGTGAGGAAAAAAAAGCTTTTCTTATTTCTTTATTTCACTTTGTCTTTCAATTTAGACGAAGCACCAAATACAAAAGTTCAAAATTTTCAAACAAAAACAAAACAAAATCATGCAGTCTAATAAATTCATAACTGGAGGGAAAATTCTAACCATGAAATTTAATTTTTCATCTGGAACAAAATATAAGACATTAATTTTTTTTCCTCACAATCTCCTCATCTTCTTAACTTTCTCATGTAGGAAAAAAATTATCTTGTTTGGAATTTAATGAACTTAATTAAGGATGATATGAAAAAAATAATAGTAATTTTCACAAATTTTAAGAACATAAACTACTGTTATTTGTTTTTTTGCTACTCCCTGTGAAATGTGAATGATTAAAAAGTGACCTGTGAGCGGAAAATAATGCTTTTCTTTTATTTGCTGGATCCAATATTTGTTTTTTTTCTGGTCAATGCTGGACCCAATATTAGATTGTCCTGCTTTCGCTTTTTCCGCACTCTCTGTCAGGGCTTTGCAAAAGAAGGCTATGAAATGAAAGCACGAGATGGTCTATTGCCCTGGGTTTTGTCGTTTACTGGGTTAAGGCTAATCATCACCATGTGTTGTCTTTTTGACCAGGATCATCGCCATCTGTTTGTCTATATGCGTCCAATATTATACAACTATTTTCTAATTCTTCAACATATTAAAATATCTTTTATGTATATTTAATATTTTAAGGTATTTTGTGACTTAATTTTATCCTTAAACTATGTTTTAGGAGTAATTTTATCTTCGCTATTAATACTAAAAAAATCAGTTAAATAAAGGTATCTATATTCCATGTTTTAAATTTTGAAAATTTTGAAAATAATTAAACATTGTGGTTGAAAACGTGAAAGATAAATGTAAAAAATATGTAAGATGACTACTAAAAAAAATTGCAAAACTGATTACAAAAAGTAGGGAAAAAGACAGAAAAATAATAGTTAAAAAATGAAATTTTCAAATGGCCACCTAAATAAGTAAAATTTTAGTTTAGGTATACATAATCAAGTTAGAATTTACAAATTTGCTGAAATGATCATATTACCCTTACCGCCCAGCTGTTCGTTGGAGCTTCGGTGCAGGCGGTGACCATCAGAGCTGAGGTGGGCCACCAAAGCTTTAAGGTTGATCATCACCACGTGATTGTCTATATGCGTCCAATATTATAAAACTATTTTCTAATTCTTCAATGTATTAAAATGTTTTTTGAATAAAAATAAGGAAATTTGAGAAAATTTACTTATTGAAAATTCTATTGGTGAAGAAAATTTAAATTTAAATATTAGTATTCTGTATGTTGTAGAGTATCGATACTTTATATGTGTAAAAATTTATCAACTCTTTTTTACTAGTAAATTTTTTTAATGAAGGTACTTTCCTTCAATTTTTTCTCTGAAAATAATAATGTCAATAATACAAAAATTGGATATAATCATGTTCAAACTTTAATTTTTATTATTATATGTGGTTGGGAGTTAAGTATTAGGGGAAGAAGTGTTTAATGATTATATGAGATTAAAGGTAGAAACTCATGAGTCATGAGTATCATGGAGTACAAATTTTTACCTCAGAGATATCTATATGCAACGCGGCTTCAATGCCTCTGATATAAAATCCATTTTTTGTTTTTTTATTTTCTTGGTTTTTTTTTGGTTTTTCGAGAGAAGGAATTATGAGAACAACGATAGTGGAGAGAAAAATCAAATGAAAAACTTAAATACAAAGAAAAAGGTGTAAAGTAGTAGGCAGAAAGAAGATTTTAACAATTTTTTTTTTTTTTTGGTTTTCTCTAAACAAGAAGGAGAAGAACAACAATAACAACACCATAAAAAGAGATGAGAGTTAAAAAAAAATTTAAATACAAGAAGATAAAGTAAATATACAGAAACTATATAGAGTGACTGGAGAGAAATGTGCAGCAAGAAGAAAACAAAAGACAAAGCAAGAACCCAAGTTGGGCACACAAATTATTTTTCGCTTTTTTGTTTTTTCAGAAGAAAAACAGTAACAACGATGATTAACGAAGAGAAGATCTAAAGGAAAGATTTAAAAATACAAAGAACCAAAAAGTCCGAACTGCGTTAATGATTTGAGAAGGAATTTTGTTTTTGTTTTTTGAAAGAGGAAGAAGTAGAAAAAGTGACGACGGCCAGGGAAAACTAAAAGGAGGAAGACAAGTAGAAGAGCACACAAAGATGGAGAGAAAAGGGCAACAAATTAAGGAGAGCAAATCAAACGAAGGATATATTCAAATGTAAGGAAATAAGGTAGACAAACTCCCGAACAGAAGCCAGAAGCCAGCTAGAACTCAAAAGTTTTATGTAATTGGAGAAAGAAAGGAAAGCGAGAAGCCAAGAAGAGCACAGATAAACCAGTGAGTTTGGTCAGTAGTAGAGGGGGCATTGGCATATATAAGTAGCAAGCATTAATTAATTTGATTAAAAGTCTCTTGTTATTACGTATTAAAAGTGACGTAAGGCAGGAATTCAAGTAGAACACACAATTTTTTTCCTTTTTTGAAAGAAAGATTAATAAAAAGAACTGAAAAGAAGAGCACACAATTTTTTTATGTCAATGTCTTGATGATGGATGGAAGTAGAGATGCAAGGGAAAGGAGAGGATCGAAGTACAGAGGAGGAGGGCAAACAAAGTGTTAAAGACGAAGCACAAGAGAGAAACGCTCAGAAGGAAGGATCCAACAAACAAACAAGAAGATCGTCGAAGAAGATTAATAACAGAAACTTCAAACAAGTGGGAGAGATGATGATCGACAACCCAAATGGAACTGAAGCAGCAGAAACTCTGGTGGTATATTGGTGAACACAGAGAGGCTATATGCTCATAATACTTATCTTGAATTACCACTCCTCTTCTTATTATAAATTACTTGTATTCTTTTGTACTACTTCATTTACGGACTATAAAAATTGCACATTAATTCAAAAATTATTTAAGGGTTAATACGAATTTTGATTTCTCAAATTTATCTTTATTTTGATTTTGGTTCCCAAATTTTAAACCATACATTTTGATCCTTCAAGTTTTTTTTATTTAAAGCATTAGTCCCCGTAACCTAATAAAAACTTGAATCCTTTTGTCTCTGGAAAGATCAAAACTTCTAATTTAAAATTTAAAAAATTAAAATAAAAATAATAACAAATTTACAGAACTAAAAGTTATATTAACTCATTATTCACTGGCCACCAATATTTCAACAAAAGAATGGCAATGCCAGCTCGGCAAAAACAGAGTAAATGCTCTCACCAGAGAGATGGGCCCTCGTCCAACGAAAAGCATTGACTGACTTTTCCATTCTCATTCGACATGTGCCCATTAGAGTCTGTTTGGATGAAACCAAACCATGGTTTGAAAAAATGATTCTGGAAAATAGATTCTGGGAAGAATAGATTCTGTGAAGAATAGATTTTGTAAAAAAGTGATTCTGAGAAGTGAAAGTGTTTGGATAGTTGTTATCATAAGCATTTTTTATATATACAAATTACTAAAAAAAAGACATAAGTTAATATGATAATTACAGAAAAAATAGATTTTATGATATATTTTAATTTGAAGGAATAAAATTGTTAATAATGTATTTT